CTAGCAGTAAACTAGTAATGAAGCTTTGTCATTGTGGCAAATACATGTTCCATGTGACACAGGAACAAGTTTGTATATCTCAAAAATCGTTTACTCAGTAATGACCTAAATAGTTGGACTCAAATATCCACTTTTGTGTCTCAAAATATGTTTAGTTTTTTTCTTAGCAGTTTCACAATAAATCGTTCAAAAAAAACACTTTCTGTAAATTAGCTAAATTTTAGAGCCATTTTAAAACGAGACAATTGGTTTACTGCTGTCTATVTTCACCATTTTGCCTTCTTCTTGGTCAAAGTTGAATATTAATGCTATTTGATGTCATGCTACAGGTGTTACAGACAYCTTTCTATTCTTACTTACATTGGGCAATGATAACATAGTGAATACTCCACATCCTTAAGGATGGTAGTAACCATAAAAAAACGAAGAAAAGGATTGGAAAAAAGCAAAAAGAAAAAAGCAAAATGAAGTACTAGGAGTAAGAAAAAGTACTAGAAGGAAAGCAAGATTAACAGAAAATAAGTAAATATCAGATAAGCATTTTATTTTTCCTAAACTATATAAAATGACTCAAAAGGCCAAAACATACAGTCATAATAAATATTTTATTTTCATTTCTCAGAGCATATGTTGTAGTTGAGGTTCAATATATTTTTGAACCAGTTTAATCTAATTTGTTCCAGTACAAGACTTCTTGTACTGGTCTTTTTTTTTTTTTTTTTTTTTGCTTTGGCATTCTTAAAAGAACTAAAAGAACTATAATATCCCATCTCATTCTCTCCCATTTTCTATCTATGTATCATCTTATGTTCTACCTTTTCTACTATTTCCTACTTTATCTTACCCTATACCCCACAGAAATATTGATATTTTCTATATTTTTAATTTATGAACAACATTTACCTTATCAGGGTTTGAACCACACTGAACTCTTGCTTCATAGTCTACAGTACTACCAATTATACCATCAAGGATTTTGTAGGTAGTAATGTTTGCAAATTGTTTTTATCTTTTTTTTATTGTAATTTATTAATGAAGAAAAAAATTTATATAATGCTAGCTCAACCCTATTCCCAACCCTAAACCTAACCCTAAACCTAACCCCAAACCTAACTCTAAACCTAACCCTAAACTGATTTGTGAGTTATATTGGACTGGCTCAAAATAAACTGAACCAGTTCAGAAGAAATTGAACTGCTTCAAAATCATATTGATGAACCTGAACTACAACACATATATTACACTGACTTACTCTTGCCATGACAATCATCTGTGATTCAGAGTCTTTCTGCATGACATATCGTTTAGCACCAAGACTGAGAATAAATGGGTATTGACAAAAAGAAAATTTCCTGTGGGAGAAAGCATACAATATAAATTACAACAATGCAAGAAAAACAATTACACATGATTCTAAATGTATCAATCCATGTTTTTACCCTTGATTTGARCCTATATTAAGGTTTACCTTTCCCCCAAGGAAAAAAAAAGAAGAACTAGAAGGAATTTTCTTTTATGTGCTGTCTTCTCTTGTTTGCACATTTCAGGTAAAATGAAGCATTATTTATATTCATCACATCTGCCTTTCATGGAAAGTTTTGGAACCTATACTTTAGAATTTGTAGGGGATAATAACAAAAAAAAACATGCTTTTTTATTGATATTCTTCTTTCACTTGTAACTGTGTTTAGTGAACCATACACGATGGTCAGAAATGGTGYTTTTTCTCCCGTTTGGTTTACAGAAATTCATATAACAATGATTTCAATGTGATGAAACTTGACACGAAGATAGTTCCAAGGTAGTTAAGTTATAATAGCAAATCTATTTTCACTTTCATTGATATGATGACATCATACGCGATGCCCAAATATGGCAATAAAACTCTAAAACTTTGATTTGGATTCCAAAAATTTTCTATAGATATTTTGTACAATCACAACGATGCATTTTAGTGAAAACCCCACCCAAATCCATTAAATAGTTCAAAAGTTCTCTACAATTTTACAGAAATTTGAATTTCCCCCTAAATGCCCATATATGGTCAAAATTATGGCGGTTTACACGTCCTCCAAAATAATCCAATTCGAATGGAAACCAAGTGATTGTTACTTTATAGCCAATTTTTTTGTTTTTTTTAGTAGTTTATTTTAGAAGTTTGGCATCACGTGACATATGACATCATTTGTCAATCAACTTAACCTGTATTTTCAAGTCTGTGACATCAAATGCCACGTGACATACAATTTCTAAAATTAAAAAAATTTAGTCCTAAAAACCTCCTTCAACACATAGAAGTTGCTGTAGGTGGCTACTCACGATGTGTTATTGCTTGGGTTTTGCCAGGAGTAGTATTCTCCCATCAGATCAATATGATCCAAGGAATGGTTATAGAAGTATGTATGACTAATTAAGGCTGGTAACTGTAGCCAGTTTGCTGCATCTAAGACAAAAAATATTATCAGCTGAGAATGGAAAAATGTTGAAATTTWAGTTTAGACTGTGTGAATAAAAACTGTTTAGCATCGAAGTGCACATAACTGGACAAAATTAGTACAATGACTGACACAAAGATTTAGCTGAGTGCATGACTGATTGACAGACTGTTGAGTTAATTTTAATAATTAAAGATGGAATGATTAACACATGAGATGAGATTTTTTTTACTACTAGCTAGCAAATGTATTCTAGTTTACATACTTAGCAGGGCCAGGACTTTGACACCAGAAGGCACCCACCATGTACACTTCTCCTCTGGTGGAAGCTCAGTTGATTTGGATGGAAACATTCTTAAACTTAGAAACTTTAGAAACAACATTCCTCTATCAATGTTATAGTCATCTTTAAGCAATTTACTGACAATGTTTTATAAATTTTTACTTGATATAATAGGCTGTTTGCATTATGACGTAACTTTACTACAACTACCAGAGTTGGCAAAGCATTCTGGTAGTTGTAGTAAATGATACCATAATGCATATCGCAGTGCTTAAAACACTGGTCTGGCACTGCCCTAGTGCAAGATTCTTGATCTTGACATTTAAGTTGGTCATCACTTTATTTAATATATAATTATTAATAATATTTTAATTTTTTCAGTATTTATGAGCTTTTATTGACAAATAATGCTTTTAGAAATTCAATTTCTTATGTTTGATTAATGTTTTAAATTTAAGCAATTATAGGTTAAGTCAGTCTGCATGTAAATATTCTTAAACAGTGCTCGAAATGGACAATGTCCTTCCAAAATTGCCAGAAGACCGACCAAAATCAGATTTTGAAAGGACAAACTGACCTGCCATATTTTTAGCAATCAATTCTCAATTTGCCAAATAAATCTTTTACAAACATATTAATAATTATATATCTTATTTTTCCTTTGAAATCGGCATAATTGTTTTTCCTTTCAAAATTCGACATGAACTTCCAAAAATGAATTTGGAAGGTCATCTTGTGCTGCATATGTCCAGCCGTTATACCGAGCGCTGTTAAAGGTGCTTATAGTGTATGGATCTCCAGATGTTATGTCTAGTCTTAAGAAAGATGTACTACTATAATTACCACAATTGKTTGTATTCTCATACACCAACTGACTGATTATAGTGTTTTCCCATACTGATGCCAGCAAATTTCACATTAYTCAGTTAYTCARTGTTTGACATTTTTTTGAGCAGCACAAAATTAACCATCTAAATAAATGTGAGAGTGAATGTCTGAACTCAGGYGTAAGCAATGTAGGTGTGGTATGATTGTCCAAGTCTTGAGGAAGACTGTGTTATAGTTACCTGACGTTTTGATATCCTGCATGGAAGTCATCTTCTGTTTGTTTCTCACTCTGAAGATGACTTTCACACAGGATGTCTTCCTCAAGACTTCTCCCAGCCGGACGATCATACCACACCTACATCTAAATAAACGATTTGATGAAAATGATTTAATCACTTCACAAACCTGTTGGATCCTAGTAATAATCCCTTTAAATATATTGATTGGAATCCTGAAAATAATCAAAAAAATCATTCAATGCATGTGGTGATATCTTACTAAAATCAAACTGGTTATTTCATCATTCTCATAGTACCCAAATCGTTCAAGAATGTCCGATACACACAAAACTAGACGGATCGTCTTTTCAAAGAGTCAATCTGTCAASCAGATATCATTTCGTAAGTTATCACAGGCATCCTAATTATAACTTGGGATTCCTGTTGACTGGAATACGATTATGGAATTGTTGTCTCGTCCTCGTACAAAATAATAACAGATGGTCTCTAACAGTAGGTTTCAAGTTACAGATCATTTACAGAGAATGTATGGGGATTTTGACCACGTCCCCCAAAACAATACGTCATTCTCTGTTAATTTGATGAAACTAGGAATAAATACTGTTCAGCTAGTTTTTATCCAAACGTTTTGAAACTTGGTATATTTACTAATTTTTGGGTGTCCTTTCATGGGGTGGGGTTTGTTTCGTGATTAGATCAATATTTCTTTGATTAGTGCCCAGTCCCCTGCGCAACTCCGAAATGGCTAATAGGGAACTCATCTCTGTTCATTGACAAATTAAGACGGATGGACTTTTTCAAAAGATGATCTGTCTAGTTTTGCGTGTATTGGGCAACCCTCAAATCATTCTCAGTTTCTCAACACAAAATGAAGGCTCTGGTTGGTGATGAATGAGACTTTGATTTGATTGGTTCAAAAATTCCAATGCGTTATCAGTATGAATATGTTGTACAACCCAGATTTTCCAGCATTGTTTCCAGCAAGAGAACCTATTTCCATAATAGAAGAAGGCAAACTTACTTTCTAAACCAGCGTACCAAACATTGATGTTCACTGTCTGAGAGTGCAGATACTTGCCGAAGCAGATGAGCAAATATTACATAAGTTGTGGCCTTGTTGAACTGAGGGTTCTAAACAGATACCACATAGTGTAAAAGTTATTATACCAACCTAGTGACACCCTACCACAACATTCTGACCACTGTATCAATAGCTTATGACCAGCCTACCACCAACCTACTGATACCCTACAAACCCACAGACACCAACCAACAACCTGCATAYAGCCTACCAACAACCTAATGACACATGATCATTTTATAGATTACTACAAATTGTATAATATATTGTATTTATCTCAACCTATAAATAGATTTTATATAATTTTAACCTATTGTTTTAATTTTTACTTTGTTGAGGGCCGCACGTTTATTAGCTTACCAAATTATTCAATGTCACTGTCATTAAATAAAGAGTTCCTATCCTTCCTTTACTATCAAGACTACCAAACCAAACAACCTACTAACAGCCTACCAACAACCTAATGACAGCATACCATCAACCTAAAGACAGCCTACAACAACCTAATGACAGCCTACCAAAACCCTACTGACAGCCTACCAACCTAATGACAGCTAGCTACCAACAACCTAATGACAGTTTACCAACAACCTACTGACAGCCTACCTACAACCTACTGACAGCCTACCAACAACCTACTGACAGCCTACCAACAACCTACTGACAGCCTACCAAC